CATTACTATCACAATAGTCACTGTCAGGAGAGTCATCTATCGGTTCACATGACGCATCTCTATCGGCATCTACATTGACGTCACTGTCAAGGAAGTCGTCTATCGGTTCACATGGTGCATCACTGTCAGATTCTTCGTCACGTTGGTTGTATATACTTAACCCATCTACATGAACCACCTGTTTACGTCTAGAAGGTACCATCTTCAATCTCATACGTTATGTCACTGAGCTTTCGCACAACTTCAAATGGTCCTTTCCATCGTTTCGCGAATTTGTTGGGAATACTGGGCGTCAATGTTGGTGTAAAAAGCCACACTTTATCACCTGACTTCAGATCGTCTTTTCCATTCCTGTGATCATAATAGTTTTTCTGACGTTTAGTCTCCACCTGGATCTGGTCACGAACAAATTGGTGACAAAAGATGAGCCTGTCCCTTAAAGTTTTATTCCACACATGTTGCTCTTTTACTGTCTGTGGTGGACGACCAAACTGAAGATCGAGCGGAGTGTTGAACTCTCTTCCAAACATGGCGTAATTAGGTGTAACACCAGAGGTGTCGTGTTTTAAAAATGTAGTGTGGACACGTATTCGGTCATTAGATATGTTACTTTCACCTGTCCAATAAGACATCCTAGAACATTTATCCTGAAGATAAGTAAAAAGCCATAAAAAAATACCAAAAGTTGGAAGACCTGTATAAAACTTTGTAAGACCATCATTGTCAGCAATTTTTGAAACACTCCACTTTTCTTTTTCCAGTTCCATTCTTGCAGCTTTCAATTCTTCTTTTAACCTGTTGTTCTCCTCTATTATCACTCCAGTATCACACTGTGTACCTGAAATATATACAGGACACATTGAGGGTGCAAGCAACTTAAATCTTTACACCACATATCTGCTTAATCAGGCTTATCATCACAACTTAATTGAGTTTTTACCAAACATTAATAATTTTAAAAAACAGTGAAATAAAGTTTTAAAGTTGAATAAATATATTTACCAACTGTTTTCTTCAAACTTGGAAGTTCAACATCTGAATCCATGACATCTAAATCACACATCTCATCATTACCAGGATTTTCTTCTACCTCCATACAGTAGGATGAGTGGTGGAATAATGATACCTGTTGTTTTATCTCGTACTGTTGTCTAACTAATTTCTCTGCATGTAAGGTTTCCTAAAAATTTTATTAAAATTCATAGAAAATATATGCGAAGCAGGTCAATATGCACAATATGGAAATATTCGGATTTAATTACAGATTGACTATCAGGTAAGATATCAGAAACATATCAAAATTGTAAATGGGCAGGTTGCTGTGGTGAGTGGAAATGATAGTTGCCATATAATGCATATTTGATATTTCCAAGGGTTGAAACCCCCCTAATAGTACTAGATCTACATTTAAATTATAAATAGACATCAATCAATAGGCTACATGTAGTAGGCTAGGGCCTACAAGCCATTAATCATAATTGTAAATGATGATGATTTTAACAGATTCAGAGATTGTCTTGATTATTTTCACACTTTTTTTTCTTCAAAATACAAAAAGAAACTAACCAGTGACTTTTCACGAACTAGATGTCTAGATTCTCTCGCAACCTGCGACACGTTCTTCCCCGTCTCTTTGTAAGCAAAAATGGTAGGAGAATAATTACCATCGGTAGGTTCATAACCATGCCAGCCATCAAGAAAATGTTCCGAGCAAATCCAAGTATTATTGTTCGGTAGCCAGTCCTTTCTATTCACGGCTTTGATCCAAGCATTGCGCTGTCTTTTATTCTTCGGAAAACGGAAAAAACTTATGCCTCTGGACTTAGCTTCAACATTAAACCTGTTATGACACTTGTAAACACAGCAGGTTTTCACCATTTTGAAGTGCGTTTGTTTACATCCGTGTTGCTAGCCACTCATAGGTGTTTGTGCGCATGCGCGAGCAGGGGGCGCTACGTTATCGTGAAAAAGCCTATAGGGGCATCCAAAATTCTTCAGATAGGTCATTGCTGTGGCCATCTTCCCTGGAATAGAAGAAACACACATTACATATGCATCGAGATAAGCAGGTTGTCAGCGTACTCTTCCATACCTAGAGGTTACAGGAGCAAAACCCTGGTCTTGATTATTTTCACACTTTTTTTTCTTCAAAATACAAAAAGAAACTAACCAGTGACTTTTCACGAACTAGATTCCTAGATTCTCTCGCAACCTGCGACACGTTCTTCTCCGTCTCTTTGTAAGCAAAAATGGTAGGAGAATAATTACCATCGGTAGGTTCATAACCATGCCAGCCATCAAGAAAATGTTCTGAGCAAATCCAAGCATTATTGTTCGGTAGCCAGTCCTTTCTATTCACGGCTTTGATCCAAGCATTGCGCTGTCTTTTATTCTTCGGAAAACGGAAAAAACTTATGCCTCTGGACTTAGCTTCAATATTAAACCTGTTATGACACTTGTAAACATAGCGTTTTCACCATTTTGACGTGCGTTTGTTTATATCTGTGTTGCTAGCCACTCATGGGTGTTTGTGCGCATGCGCGATCAGGGGGCGCTACGTTATCGTGAAA